CACACACACACACACACACACACACACACACATACTCTCTCACACACACTCTCTCTCACACACACATACTCTCTCACACACACACTCTCTCTCACACACACATACTCTCTCACACACACACTCTCTCTCACACACACATACTCTCTCACACACACACTCTCTCTCACACACACATACTCTCTCACACACACACTCTCTCTCACACACACATACTCTCCCTCTCTCTCTCTCACACACACACACACACACACACACTTCGGTGTTGCGCCTGGGAAACGCTCTGCGTCTCGTTTCTCGTGTCTCTCGAGTGTGTCTCGGGGCGGCCGTGGGTTTGTGTGGAGGTGAGACGCATCTGGATCTGATTGTGGGAGTGATGTTGGGCTGAATCATCTCTGCCTCCCCTGCAGACCCAGAGCGTCACTACCCAGAGTTCACCTGGGTTCAGGACATGATGTTTAGCAGCCCAGTGTGTGAAGCGTGTAAGTCGAGCCAGAGCGGCCTCCAGTGGACACACTCTGCAGAAACGCTCTTCCTCTGTCCTGCTGTGAGCGTGTCCCTTACACTGTTAACATGTTTATAGCAGCTGCGTGAATAATTACACATCAGTTTATAAGACACAGACGACTGAGGAAGCTCAGAAACAAACCTGAGAAAGAGGAGGAGGTCGTGAGGAAGAGCATAAGATCCCCGTCTCTCTTCCTCAGAGCTCAGTCGAGTGTAATGATGTGATGGTGTGTTTGGAAGGAGAATGTCTGGCCGTGAGTTGTTTTGATTACTGAAGCGCAGAGATTGCTCAGAGACGCCGCTGGTTCTCTCGCTGGTCACTGATGCTGCCGTGCGCTGGAGCTCAGGGGGCCTATTACAGAAACATCCTAACTTGAAAATCTTATCTGTTTGGTCATTTCAGTTAGGACCACATTCAGGACAAAAGCTATTACAGAACAGCATTTCCTAAGTGTGTTATCCTGTCTTAACTACAGGGCTATTACAGGAAACTCCTAACTTGACAAAAACTCCTAATTAAACGTATCATATCTTAAGACCTAAGATAAGAAACTTTCTGTAATACGATGTTCTGCGTCTCTGACCTGTGAGCTGGTTGTATGACACCTCTCGCTTACACACACGCCGGGAAGGTCACGTGTGTTTTCTTTCTCCCGCTCGCGGTCCCGAACACAAATAACGCCCGCGTTTGGCTGCTAAACATCTGCTAACTAGGATGTCGCTGCGGCTAATCTCAAATATTTGTTCGCTCTCAGGGTTGGTGTTTTTAGCCTCTTCCAGGCTGTTATGAAACAGAATCGTTCTTTTTTCTCTCGGTGCTCGCTGACCTCTCGTACCAGAATCAACTGATAATTGACAGCCAGTCAAAACAGTTCAGCTCTCTGAGTCCAGCGCTGTGCCCGAGACCAGCGTGGCACATTCCCCAATTCACCCCGAAACTTGATCTATTTGAGATCAGTAGCAGCTGAGGCCTTCGCTCATAACGCGTCGTCAGAATTGGCGTGAAACCCCAGATAAAATCATCAGGCGCAGAATTACATTCAAGAGAAACAAATACGTGCGCTGAGGCCGAGCGTCTGAACACGTCTGACCCGCGGCTCTGGTTTCAGCTCAGGAGCCAGAGGGCAAACCGGGTCACGGTTACAGGAGGGTAACCCGTGTTAACTCGAACCCGGCCCGAGCGCTGTTTGGTTAGGCTGGGCTGAAGAGAGAAAGCATGTCTTCCACCTGTATAAGCAAGATCACATGTTTAAAATAACAGGTGAGGGGCGAGTCTGATTCAGAACTGTGGACTCTAGTTGTGTGATCAGGTTTGTTGTTTATTTAGTATTTGGCTAGTTTGAAGATGCTTTCTGCTACCAATAAGAGTACTGTACTTTCTGGCCCATGTAGCATGCATAATTATGATTAAAAAAGAGAGAGGGTCAGAATGAGGGTAGAAAATAATCATTTTTCCACATAGTTATTTGTTTAATTTTTTTGTGTGTGCAAAAAACTTTATTAACATTATAAGTGAACCTCAAAGAACATATTAAAATAAAAAAATACATGTCGTGACCCCTTTAACATTTCTGTAGCTTAAATAGCATGAGCATGACACAAGCAAAGGCAGCATCATGGGATATATTCCCAGAGAACACATGAACTGGTGAATCTGCACCTCAGGACAAAAGCAGCTGCCAAATGCATAAATGTGTATGTAACGTTCATTCTTTTTTCTTTTCAAGTTTTAGTTTTCGTTAGCATTCACTCTATCAAAGTTTTAGTTTAGTTGTAGTTTGTTTCAATGTTTTCTAGTTTTAGTTTATTTGGGTTTTGTTTTAATGTTTTAGGGCTGCCAAGCTTCATCCAAACTGCCATCATTTTATATCGTTGAACGTTTTGTCATGAAAATGTATTTTAGTTTGCTGTTGCTGATGGGAATGTGTTTCTATGGTAACGCAGCGTTTTGTTCTGTCTGGTGTTTTCGCTGAAGTCATATTTCGGGCGAGCCGCAGCTCTGATGGAGATGAAATGAGATGGTTTGGTCCGTGCGTTCGCTCGGTCTCGCTGTAAACATGGTGTCTGCCAGCGGCTGTATGCTTCAGCGGTCGGTGAATAACTCCAGCGTCCGCCTGCGGTTTCCTCATCACCCCCCAGAGTCTCAGAGAGCCACCTTCACCTCTCACTCACCCCGGGCTCCTCGCGTCGCTGTTTCTCATTGGCGTCGCTGGGGTTAAAGAGCCTCATCGTGACCTCATGTTTGAAGTTTAGCTGCGCTCTGAAGTCACATCGCTGGAACCGACCGTAGGGTTTAACTTCCTGCACCAGTGATGGTGATCATGGCCTCATGGTCCAGGTTTCCTGATAAAATGAAATGTTCTTCTTTCTCTCCCACGTTTGTAAAGGTATTCAGTGTCCGCTCGCTCCTGCTGTGTGTGTTATGCAGGAGAATTAACCCGCTGAGAAGTGTCCCGTCACTGCATCGAGTCACGACCCCCCCGTGTCTTCGTTGTGGTTGAGCTGCAGAACAGTCGTCATGAGTTTGGGGTCTCGGGGCTTTGATGCACAGGCGGCCGTCACGTCTCTGAGCGAATGCGACTTCACAGGAGGCAGCATGAGGCCACTGCACTTTATGGCACTCGTTTTAAGTGCTTTTGTTTTCTTCAAAGGGAGTCTGAGATTTGAGGAGAACATTCTCAGGCGCTGAGCTCTGAGCTCATGAGGTTTCTCATGAGTACAGCTTCTGAACTGGATCTGACCCTCCATCAGCCGTGCAGCGCGTGTGTGTGTGTGACTGCCTCTAATGCCACGTCTCACTCACATGCAATACCATCCAGTGAAGCCCCGCCCACTGCAGTTCCTCAGATATCTTGTTAGTTGTTGGTTTGTTTGAATATGATTGTCTGTTACATCATCTCGATGTGTGTGTTCAGGTGTGCGGTCATCAGCCGCAGTCCGCGGTCTCTGGTTCGATGGAGAGTTTGTGTGGCAGCAGCGCCCCCTGCGGGCAGGACAGTGGGTTCGGCAGCGACAGCGCTCGTCTGCGGATCGTTCAGATCGAGCGGCAGAGCGGCACGGGTCAGCACCGCCTCGCCCGGCCGTCACAGCAGCCCACCATCACCAAGAACCTCAGCTTCATCCCGTTCGATGTGTTCCTCACCGCCGGCCGCATCTCTCTAATGACGTACGCGACCGCGCCTGCGTCTAAACCCCCCGCTGATGCCCCGGGAAAGAGCACGCTCGACGTGCCGGAGGACGAGACGGTTCGGGCCGGGGCTCTGTCCTCACTGACGGCCGAGGATCTGCTCAACGCAAACACTGCTGTCGGGTCGACAGGGGTCCTGGGGGGCCGCTCGTCTGCGCGACAGGCTCTGGGCGTGACAGTGGTGAGACAGCCGGGCCGCAGAGGAGACAAAGACTGCAGCCTGCAGCCGATGCTGTTCCTGCAGGTGACACAGCCGTCCATCTTAATCAGCTGCCACCATCGCAAGCAGAGGCTGGAGCTGTCACCACATTCAGGACAAAAGCTATTACAGAACAGCATTTCCTAAGTGTGTTATCCTGTCTTAACTACAGGGCTATTACAGGAAACTCCTAACTTGACAAAAACTCCTAATTAAACGTATCATATCTTAAGACCTAAGATAAGAAACTTTCTGTAATACGATGTTCTGCGTCTCTGACCTGTGAGCTGGTTGTATGACACCTCTCGCTTACACACACGCCGGGAAGGTCACGTGTGTTTTCTTTCTCCCGCTCGCGGTCCCAAACACAAATAACGCCCGCGTTTGGCTGCTAAACATCTGCTAACTAGGATGTCGCTGCGGCTAATCTCAAATATTTGTTCGCTCTCAGGGTTGGTGTTTTTAGCCTCTTCCAGGCTGTTATGAAACAGAATCGTTCTTTTTTCTCTCGGTGCTCGCTGACCTCTCGTACCAGAATCAACTGATAATTGACAGCCAGTCAAAACAGTTCAGCTCTCTGAGTCCAGCGCTGTGCCCGAGACCAGCGTGGCACATTCCCCAATTCACCCCGAAACCTGATCTATTTGAGATCAGTAGCAGCTGAGGCCTTCGCTCATAACGCGTCGTCAGAATTGGCGTGAAACCCCAGATAAAATCATCAGGCGCAGAATTACATTCAAGAGAAACAAATACGTGCGCTGAGGCCGAGCGTCTGAACACGTCTGACCCGCGGCTCTGGTTTCAGCTCAGGAGCCAGAGGGCAAACCGGGTCACGGTTACAGGAGGGTAACCCGTGTTAACTCGAACCCGGCCCGAGCGCTGTTTGGTTAGGCTGGGCTGAAGAGAGAAAGCATGTCTTCCACCTGTATAAGCAAGATCACATGTTTAAAATAACAGGTGAGGGGCGAGTCTGATTCAGAACTGTGGACTCTAGTTGTGTGATCAGGTTTGTTGTTTATTTAGTATTTGGCTAGTTTGAAGATGCTTTCTGCTACCAATAAGAGTACTGTACTTTCTGGCCCATGTAGCATGCATAATTATGATTAAAAAAGAGAGAGGGTCAGAATGAGGGTAGAAAATAATCATTTTTCCACATAGTTATTTGTTTAATTTTTTTGTGTGTGCAAAAAACTTTATTAACATTATAAGTGAACCTCAAAGAACATATTAAAATAAAAAAATACATGTCGTGACCCCTTTAACATTTCTGTAGCTTAAATAGCATGAGCATGACACAAGCAAAGGCAGCATCATGGGATATATTCCCAGAGAACACATGAACTGGTGAATCTGCACCTCAGGACAAAAGCAGCTGCCAAATGCATAAATGTGTATGTAACGTTCATTCTTTTTTCTTTTCAAGTTTTAGTTTTCGTTAGCATTCACTCTATCAAAGTTTTAGTTTAGTTGTAGTTTGTTTCAATGTTTTCTAGTTTTAGTTTATTTGGGTTTTGTTTTAATGTTTTAGGGCTGCCAAGCTTCATCCAAACTGCCATCATTTTATATCGTTGAACGTTTTGTCATGAAAATGTATTTTAGTTTGCTGTTGCTGATGGGAATGTGTTTCTATGGTAACGCAGCGTTTTGTTCTGTCTGGTGTTTTCGCTGAAGTCATATTTCGGGCGAGCCGCAGCTCTGATGGAGATGAAATGAGATGGTTTGGTCCGTGCGTTCGCTCGGTCTCGCTGTAAACATGGTGTCTGCCAGCGGCTGTATGCTTCAGCGGTCGGTGAATAACTCCAGCGTCCGCCTGCGGTTTCCTCATCACCCCCCAGAGTCTCAGAGAGCCACCTTCACCTCTCACTCACCCCGGGCTCCTCGCGTCGCTGTTTCTCATTGGCGTCGCTGGGGTTAAAGAGCCTCATCGTGACCTCATGTTTGAAGTTTAGCTGCGCTCTGAAGTCACATCGCTGGAACCGACCGTAGGGTTTAACTTCCTGCACCAGTGATGGTGATCATGGCCTCATGGTCCAGGTTTCCTGATAAAATGAAATGTTCTTCTTTCTCTCCCACGTTTGTAAAGGTATTCAGTGTCCGCTCGCTCCTGCTGTGTGTGTTATGCAGGAGAATTAACCCGCTGAGAAGTGTCCCGTCACTGCATCGAGTCACGACCCCCCCGTGTCTTCGTTGTGGTTGAGCTGCAGAACAGTCGTCATGAGTTTGGGGTCTCGGGGCTTTGATGCACAGGCGGCCGTCACGTCTCTGAGCGAATGCGACTTCACAGGAGGCAGCATGAGGCCACTGCACTTTATGGCACTCGTTTTAAGTGCTTTTGTTTTCTTCAAAGGGAGTCTGAGATTTGAGGAGAACATTCTCAGGCGCTGAGCTCTGAGCTCATGAGGTTTCTCATGAGTACAGCTTCTGAACTGGATCTGACCCTCCATCAGCCGTGCAGCATGTGTGTGTGTGTGTGTGTGTGTGTGTGTGTGTGTGTGTGTGTGTGTGTGTGTGTGTGTGTGTGTGTGTGAAATGCCACATCTCATTTACATGCCATACCATCCAGTGAAGCCCGCCTCTTTAGCCCTGCCCACTGCAGTTCCTCAGATATTTTGAGCTTGTAAAAGGGATAGTTCACCCAAAAAAGAAAATTACCCCATGATTTAGTCACCCTCAAGCCATCCTAGGTGTATATGACTTTCTTCTTTTAGACAAATTCAGTCGGAGTTATATTTAAAAACGTCCTGACTCTTACAAGCTTTATAATGGCAGTGAATGGCTGTTATTTTTCAATAGTCCAAAAGAAATCTAATAAAGCGCATCCATCCATAATAAAAAGTGCCTCACACGGCTCCGGGGGGTGAATAAAGGCCTCCTATAGCGAATCGATGCATATTTCAAATGTAATGAACACTTTTCTCTCACTTACGCGGAAGTGTTCCGGCGGATGACACAGGACGTATGCGTCACGCGCGCCTCTGAGATATGCTAGTCTCGCGAGTTTGTTAACAGGAGCAAAGGAAGCAAAGTTTCCTTACTTTAGCAAAGGAAAACCAGTCTCCTCTTGGCTTATATCGAAATCTTCTGACATTTTTTTGTACAAATCCTCGGTTTGTATTTCTAATTCGTGACCGGCGTTTTGTTTTGTTCTCTCTCCGCGTTTGTTGCTAATCACGCAACACCTACGTACTACGTCATCCGCCGGAATGCTTCTGCATACCACAGTTAGATGAAGTGAAAGAAAAGTGTTTATTACGTTTGAAATATGGATATTTTTCTTACAAAAACGCATCTATTTGCTACAGGAGTTCTTTATTCACGCCCCGGAGCCGTGTGAGGCATGTTTTATTATGGATGCGCACGCTTTATTTAACATCTTTTGGACTGTTAAATAGAAACACCTGCCTAATGCAATGATAGAGCTTAGAAGAGCCAGGACAATTTTTAATATAACTCGGATTGGATTTGTCTGAAAGGAGAAAGTCATACACACCTAGGATGCCTCGAGGGTGAGTAAAACACAGGCTAATTTTAATTTCAAGTAAAAATGAAAGATATTTAGTAAATCTCCTACCGTAAATATATCAAAACTTAATGTTTGATTAGTAATATGCATTGCTAAGAACTTCATTTGAACAACTTTAAAGATGATTTTCTCAATATTTAGATTTTTTTGCTCCCTCAGATTCCAGATTTTCAAATAGTTGTATCTCGGCCAAATATTGTCCTATCCTAACAAACCATACATCAGTGGAAAGATTATTTATTCAGCTTTCAGATGATGCATAAATCTAAATTTAAAAAAATGGACCCTTATGACTGGTTTTGTGGTCCAGGGTAACACACGATTGTCTGTTAGATCATCTCGATGTGTGTGTTCAGGTGAGTGGTCATCAGCCGCCGTCGGCTGCGGTCTCGGGGTCGGTGGAGAGTTTGTGTGGCAGCAGCACCCCCTGCAGGCAGAACAGCGGGTTCGGCAGCGGCAGCGCTCGTCTGCGGATCGTTCAGATCTAGCGGCAGAGCGGCACAGGTCAGCACCGCCTTGCCCGGCCGTCGCAGCAGCCCACCATCTCCAAGAACCTCAGCTTCATCCCGTTTGATGTGTTCCTCACCGCCGGCCGCATCTCTCTCATGACGTACGCAACCACGCCTGCCTCCAAACCCGCCGCAGACGCCCCCCGGAGGACCAGACGCTTCGGGCCGGGGCTCTCTCCTCGCTGACGGCCGAGGATCTGCTCAATGCAAACACTGCGGGCGGGTCGAGGGGGTCCTGGGGGGCCGCTCCTCTGCGTGATGGTGGTGAGACAGCTGGGCCGCAGACAAAGACTGCAGCAGCTAAAAAATGGTTGTAAGTCAGTTATTTCTGTCTTTTGCTGTAGTGTGTCAGTAGAAAATATCAGTTTACATTTCCAATCATTCATTTATTTAACATCTTTTGGACTGTTAAATAGAAACACCTGCCTAATGCAATGATAGAGCTTAGAAGAGCCAGGACAATTTTTAATATAACTCGGATTGGATTTGTCTGAAAGGAGAAAGTCATACACACCTAGGATGCCTCGAGGGTGAGTAAAACACAGGCTAATTTTAATTTCAAGTAAAAATGAAAGATATTTAGTAAATCTCCTACCGTAAATATATCAAAACTTAATGTTTGATTAGTAATATGCATTGCTAAGAACTTCATTTGAACAACTTTAAAGATGATTTTCTCAATATTTAGATTTTTTTGCTCCCTCAGATTCCAGATTTTCAAATAGTTGTATCTCGGCCAAATATTGTCCTATCCTAACAAACCATACATCAGTGGAAAGATTATTTATTCAGCTTTCAGATGATGCATAAATCTAAATTTAAAAAAATGGACCCTTATGACTGGTTTTGTGGTCCAGGGTAACACACGATTGTCTGTTAGATCATCTCGATGTGTGTGTTCAGGTGAGTGGTCATCAGCCGCCGTCGGCTGCGGTCTCGGGGTCGGTGGAGAGTTTGTGTGGCAGCAGCACCCCCTGCAGGCAGAACAGCGGGTTCGGCAGCGGCAGCGCTCGTCTGCGGATCGTTCAGATCTAGCGGCAGAGCGGCACAGGTCAGCACCGCCTTGCCCGGCCGTCGCAGCAGCCCACCATCTCCAAGAACCTCAGCTTCATCCCGTTTGATGTGTTCCTCACCGCCGGCCGCATCTCTCTCATGACGTACGCAACCACGCCTGCCTCCAAACCCGCCGCAGACGCCCCCCGGAGGACCAGGCGCTTCGGGCCGGGGCTCTCTCCTCGCTGACGGCCGAGGATCTGCTCAATGCAAACACTGCGGGCGGGTCGAGGGGGTCCTGGGGGGCCGCTCCTCTGCGTGATGGTGGTGAGACAGCTGGGCCGCAGACAAAGACTGCAGCAGCTAAAAAATGGTTGTAAGTCAGTTATTTCTGTCTTTTGCTGTAGTGTGTCAGTAGAAAATATCAGTTTACATTTCCAATCATTCATTTGGAGATATATGTTAGTGCTGCACACAGAGATGTGATCTGATCATCATCAGTCTGTCTGGAGTCACATGAAGAAACAGAACACACTGAGACAGACTCGATCCAGAAGAACGCTTTGGATAAAAGCATCTGCTAAATGATTAAATGTAGAACCAAGATGCTTCAAGAAAGCTACCTGCAAAACTACAGTACTGTTAAAAGTTTTAGGCACTTGTGTAAGAATGCTGTCAAAAATAATGTCATAAATAGATTTTCTTTATCAATTAACTTTTGTTAACTAAATGAAACCAACATTTGGTGTGAGCATCTTTGTGTTTAAAGCAGCTTTTGTCCTCGGTGCACTTGAGCAGAGTTTCTCAGGAGCTTTGCAGGTAGGTCAGAAATCTCACTGCATTATTACAATTAATGGCCAAATGAATGATTGAAAATGTAAACTGATATTTCCTTCTGACACACTACAGCAAAAGATAGAAATAACTGACTTACAACCATTTTACTAGTGTTTATTATTTACCAAAATACTAGTGTTCTAATAATTTTGACCACCACTGTATTTTCACTGGCCCTGCCATAAAAAAGAACAGTTCCTGTTATCATTGTTTTTGACCCATGTTATCTTTTATTCTAATAAATAAGCTTATGACACCAAAACAGATTTCGATACCACAGCAAAAACTAAATATAAAATTCAAACATTAATAAAGAGAAGTGAACAGTCAGTAAATAAGAACAACGGAACAAATTACAAGCAATAGCACATATGATACAAATGAAATAATGCTTCAGGAAATACAGACGGGCTGAATGAGACGCAGGTTCACTGTCTGCCAGCAGGTGGCGCTTATGGAACAATGTGGTCTTTTTACTCCACAGACTGAACTAAATGAAGCATTGCTTGGTAATTGGTTGAGCTCAATTGGTTTTATCTAATTATCGGCTATTCAACAGAATTCATTACATACCTTTCTATCAAAGTTATCTGACATTATCAAGATCAATTTGTTCTGACACAGTTTAACTCTGAGTTCTTCTCATATCTCATTACCATTTTCTAAACTATAGCTAATAAACTGTGATATAATGTGAGAGGCCAATTTTAGAATTAATGAATAAAATATCATACAAATCTTAATATTATTATAAAATATTAAAATATATCAGTAGAAATTTTGGTTACACTTTATTTTAAGGTGTCCTTGTTACAGTGTACTTATACATTTAACTGCATCATATTAATTAACTACATGTACTTACTATATGGTTAGGGTTGTGTGTGTGTGTGAGTGAGTGTATGAGTTTGTGTGTGTGTGAGTGTGTGTGTGTGTATGAGTTTGTGTGTGTGTGTGTGTGTGTGTGTGTGTGTGTGTCTGTCCTGTGGGACTCCGTGTTGTTATGTGTTATGAAGGGTCATGCTGCTGCCAGACCAAATCCACACGCTCCTAAATCTCTCCTGTTGTTCACTGAGCCAAAAATGAGCCGCAGATGAGTGTCAGTGCCAGACAGAGACGTGTGTGTCCATGGATGATCCTTCAGAGGAGGTGAATCTGAACATCTGAAATGCTGTCAGACACCTGAACACACGACAGCAGCTACAGACACGTGTGAAGAACAGCGCAGCACCTACAACATGCAAACACGTGATGCCTGACCATTTGTGCTCAATGGCTGCAGAGTTTGAACCCTCCCAGCAGTCAGTCCATCATCACGGTCCACTCAAGAGTGAACACTAATGTGATTTCTGTCCGATTCTCTCTCTAGATGGTTTTAAGGAGGTCTGTTTGTCGGTTCAGTGTGAGGACGTGTTGGTGCGGACGGGTCTGAAGGACAGAAGTGCAGTGTTTGTGGGTCCGTTCTCCTGCAGTGCAGATCTGGAGGCTCATTGGTGCAGACACCGCGGAAGCTCCGCCCCCGACTCACCTGGACCCCCGAGAGTGTTGATTGACATGAAGGTAAGATGTCAAACGCTGCTGCTGCTTCTGTTTCTTACTCACTTAAACATCCCATGTCTCTCCACATGTGTGATGTATGTGGTTTTTTGGCTGCATGTGTCTCTCTCTCCACATGTGTGTCCGTATAACGCTGAACGTATGTATAGCTGCTGAACACGCAGAAATCTCCTGATGTTCCTGTTCAATCTGTTAGTCAGAGGCACACAGACTCATTCTGAGTCAGAGATTCCAGCTGATTCAGGCCAAGCACACACACACAGAGAGAGAGAGACGATTCACTAGCCTTGAGACATTTTATTCCCTTATTAATGCGACTGTTTTGCATTAAATGCAGCCAGAGTGTCAATCATGGAGCAGTTTGGGTAGAAATTAGAGGTTGACCGATTTTGCTGATACCGATAGCTAGGGTGGATCACACAAGCTGATACCGATTAATCAACTGATAGTTTTTATAATGAATGTTGAACGAAAACTAAAATAGTGCTTCACAATTTTTTTAAATTCTACTTTGTAAATGAATAAAAATATTAATATTAATTAGTTAGTTATTATAACGTTAGTTCATAGTTTATTACTAATGTTAACAGAAGAAACTTTAACATTTTAAAATGTATTAGTAATAGTAAATGTTAAAATGATCACTCTAACAAGAAACGATACTTTTCTTGCTCTCATTAATCTTAATGTTACAAATGGGCCTTTATTGTAAAGTGTTACCATTTCATTTCAACAGTCGTGCTTAAAGATGGCCATCTTTAAATATCTACACAAGGGCCATAGCATTTAAAATTATATACGTATGGATATTGTATGCATACTCCCACACTTTATACTCTCACACTTGTCACGTTCAACCCAAGCGGCGGTCTAAAACTGTTGATTTAATCACCAAACAGGTAAAAGTTTACTTCAAGAATGAACAGAGTGGCATAGATGAGTTTGAAGTTCAGCGTTTAAACACAGAGCAAACGGAAAGAGAAAGTGCGACCTATATTACAGCTCTCTATGTGAAACATACTTTATTAGAGCCACAGAAAGACAAACGTTTTGCTAAAAAAAATGCACAATACACAATTTTACAGCCTAGGGTGAAGTCATTAGGTACATTAACAACGATTTGGGACAAATATAATGGAATGGAAAACTATGTGAGTGGCGCTGCAGGATTTTCTGTCGACTGCATTTAAATCCGCATCTGAAGTTTCCCGCTCTGTGCAGCGCAGTATCACTGTGTCAAAACAAACAGCACGAGGTGTCAGTGATTTCTGCCTCTAGAGGCCGCTCTTGCACTGTAGAACGACAGCGGACCCTTCGTAGCCGCTCCAGCAATGGACCTAACCCAGAAAACTATCGGCATAGATTTTGGTCAGCATGGAATTTTGTTTTTTAGTTAAGGCAGTCAACTACTGGTGCAGATTAATCGGCAAAATCAGTCACCCTCTAGTAGAAATAATCAAACATAGACGCTGGTGGTCAGTCCTACTAAGTGATGTTTACAAACAAATTTCGGGAGGAGCACGCACGGATAATTAACACGGCCAGTTCATCATTAGTGATTACACCATTTATCCAATCAGCGCAAGAGAAAACTCCCATAAATAACCAAGTACGCCCTACCTTCGTTATCTCTCGACTTTCAGCATCCCTCCGCCACCCCGACCTCGCACCGTCAGCATAGTTTCTACCCCAGCACGGGGAGAAGCACTCGGGGGGAGCGCTTTTTGGGCCGGGCTGAACACCGAGCTCGGACCCCTCTCCCCGGACAGGGGGAGGTGCCCCGGGCTCGGGAGTCTTGCCGAGCTCGGAGCCCTCTCCCTGGACAGCACGCCAAATACGCATAACCCTTTATTAATTATAAGAAAGTGCGAACTCGTGAACTGGTTTGAAACGTTGTTAGCGGTCGTTCACCTGACTGGCACTTTCGGTAGATTCCAGACTCATAACAGCGCATAATGAACACTCACATGCAACATGAAATAAATAGGTGCGCGGGCAGATCACTGCGATTAAAAGCAGATCTAAGTTATGTCTGTCTGACTAACTGAAGGTCTGTCTGTCGCAGGTGTTTTGGGGGCAGCGGCAGTTTAACTGTTTGTCTGAGATTCAAGAGCAGCTGCAGAACTTCTGGAATCAGATGAGCAGAACAGAGGCGGAGTCTAAAGAGAAGCCCCTCCTCTCTACACCGCCACGCACCCCTCGCCCCGCCCAATCAGAACACTCCTCTGATGACCTGCGCACAGGCATCTTCCAGTACATACAGGACTCAGGTAACACAAACACACACACATTACAGCTTTATATAGCACTCATAAGAGGGAGTGATTATATCTGTCTGTCTGTCTGTACGCATGTCAGAAGCTGCCGTCGCCTCATGAGGTGGTGTTTTGGAGGGAGACGGACGAGTCTCCAGGTGTGATGCTGTGGCGGTATCCTCAACCGCGTGTGATCACGTTCCTCAGGATCACACCTGTTCCCTTCAACACCACTGACATCAGTACAGCCGACCTTGGGGACGCGCTGCAAGTGAGTGCTGCATTAGTGCTGCATTAGTGTCATAGGTGAGCGCTGCTTTAGTGCTGCAGGTGAGCGCTGCATTAGTGTCGTAGGTGAGCGCTGCTTTAGTGCTGCAGGTGAGCGCTGCATTAGTGTCGTAGGTGAGCGCTGCGTAGTTTTGTGTCACACTTCCTCATGTTCTCCTGCAGCAGCTTCTCATGATCATCAGTGTTTCTTTCATCTGCTGGAGCATCAGTCCTTCACCTCAGAAGCTCTTTAAAACTGAAAAACCTTATCTCTGTCTGTCTGTCTGTGTGTCTGTCTGTCTGTAGGTGCCCTGCAGTCTGGAGTTCTGGGATGAGCTGCAGTGGGCATTTGTGCCGTATAGAGAGTTCAGCCTATCAGAGAGCAGTGTGTGTGAGCTGACCCTGCCCACTCTGACCCCCGACACACGCCAGACTGACCTGGTGACCTCTGACCTCTGGAGAGTGGTGCTCAACAGCACCAGTGACGGTGGAGACGAGAGGTGAGTGTGTTTTAAATGTGTGTGTTTCTGGTGTGTTTTAGAGGCGAGTGTGTCGTTGTGTAACCGTGTGTGTGTGTGTGTGTAGTTCGGACAGTGAATCAGGTGCCCTGTGAGCAGCTGGTGTGTCCCACCGCTCTGGCCGCGTGTGGACTCGTGTTTTGCGCCGTGGTTCGTGCCTTCAGTGGGCGTCTCCATACAACTGGTGTACCTGGAGCTGCGCTTCTGTCACAACCTGCATCAACTGGGCACAGGTGAGTGTGTGTGCGAGTGTACCTACTTAACCATATTTTGGGGACAATTTTGTACCCAAAACCTGACAAAATCTCCAAAAACCTCCCTTTGGGGATGTCCTCATTTGTAAAACTGGTGTAAAAATAAAGTAAACAAAGTTTGTTTGTTTGTGTGTGTGTCAGAAAATATTGTCATTATTTACATTATTTAGGGTAAGGTAAAGTGAGAGTTTCCCAAGCTGAGGTTCATAAGTTGATGAAAAGCTAATTATTATTTCAGTCATAAAAATAAAAAAATGAAGAAATAACTGTTAAATAAATACTATAAAAAAAAATAAAACACTTACTGAAATTGTCAAATTTTAAAAAAATGTAACATTGAAATGAATAATTATTTTAAATAAAATGAATCAAAATGTATTCAAGGGGTCATATGATGCGATTTCAATTTGTTATAAGCTCTTGGTGCACTAAAGTCTCAAATCCAAAGAGATATTCTTTATAAAAGTTCAGAGTCAGCCATGCCCCCCTAAAACGGCTCGTTCTAACACGCCCCCACATGTCTACATCACTATGTGGGAAGATTTGCATAACGCCGCCCAAATGTTCATGCAAAGAAAGAAGGCGTAACTTTAATCAACTTCAGAGAACTGTGAATATAGGAATGTGTGTATTCTCTATAATTCCACTCTTTCCGCAGTGCCGTGCCAGAAGCTCCGCCCCTTCCTCCCAGACAGGAAGTCGCCTCAGGATCAGGAGTTTGCGCTGGTGTGTGTGCGTGAGCCGTGTGTGTTTGTGCGTCAGTGGAGTGACGTGATGCAGTGCTGTCATGAGCTCAGCTTCTCGTCCACGCTGAGCTGCAGACTGCTGGAGTACCGCAACCTCACGTACCTGTCTGTCCTTCAGCCGGTCAGCCTGCGGGGACACGCCACACACACACACACACACACACACACACACACACACACACACACACACACACACTCAGTACTAGAGGCTTGTGGGTTTTTCCCTCTTTATGAATATGATGTGTGTCTGTGTCTGGGAAGAGCTTCCTGTTTCTGCGGCCGCAGTCTGAATGTGTCCAGAGACGCTCAGACACACTGACCACAGCAGCCACGTCTCTCTGTGTTTGTCTGTCACTGACCGCAGCCTGTAGTGCCGTCCTGACTGTCGTCCTCTCTGGCGGTTCGGTCCGAGGGTGTTTGTCCGGTCTGTCTGACGCGCTGCGGGTTCGAGTCCTGGTGCTGCAGGACAGGAGAGGATAGCGCAGCGTCTGCTGCTGTTGTCTTGTTCTCTTCTCTGCCGTTTCTGACGGATGGTTTTTATTACTCCAGTGTTTTTGAGACCCTAAACGCTCGGGCTCTTTTTCCCACTTTGCAATGCGGTGTGTGTGGGGGGGGCGTTCACCACGTGGCGCGTCTCTGCTGGGACTCGTGTGGCATGCGAATGACTTCAGGGCTGTGGACGCTGTCTGGGGCGCGTTCAGTATGGAAACCATTAGCACCAATCTGGACGGAATTTGGGCGGATATTTGACTTCCTGTCTGTTCCTCTGGGGGGGGGGTCATCACGGTAGCTGCTGCCAAACCCCTAAAACACACACTCTCACACACACACACACACACACTCACTCACAGTTGATGGTCTTAACTACAGTCACAGTAAACATGCTCACACACAGATAACGAATAAATCTTGCAGTTTTAGCGCGTCCTCGGGCCTCTTTCACACACAAGCTGTTTGGACACAGAGACAAACTCCTTCAGGCCGTGATGAGGTCATGCGCAGCCAACAGCACGTCGAGTCCCTGAATAGTGAACGAGCCCCTGGCGGCCCATCGCAATTATAGCTGCATCACACATCCATAATTTCCCAGAGATCAGTTTGAGTTACGGCTGCTGGTGTGGATGGGTGTGTGAGAGCTGTGTGTTTGCGCTGGTTTCTGTGTTTATGCAGCTATGTGTGAATATCTGCGCTCAGAAACGTCAAGCCGGTGAATGTTAGCAACTTTAATGCAGTTCGATGCTCCAGTGTTGCAGCAAAAACACTAATATAGCATCAGCACACGGTTCCTCCAGAAGATGTGTTTAGTGTCAGTCGGCGTGTTTGACGCACATCATTTTGTCGACATTTCGTTCAGGTCGCAGTGTTTCTTGCGTGTGTTTTGCGTGTCCAGTTGGCCGTTTGTCTCGCGGCTGAACTCGAACATGTGCGGCAGCGGGTGTTTGATGTAAGGTGAGGGCCGCTGTTATGGCTTCTCCCTGAAGGTCGCGCTCGGCCACAGGCGCTAGAAAATGGGCTGTTGTAAAAATAAAGAGGGTCGAGGCGCTCGGGCCGCCGCTTCCTGATGAGTAATACAGCACAGAGATCTGAGAAGTTATGTCATTTCCACTCGGCAGCCCTCTGGAGGAGGAAGATCTGCTCAAATTGACTTCAGCCTTTGATTGGCCGTGTTTTCGTAACAGAATCCACCTTCAAACGGCCAGGAAAGCGCGAGGATCAGGCCTGACCGCGGTCACTGCACGCCTTGACCCGCACGCTAATTTGTTTGACTTTACAGTTTGAGCGGCACTCAGGAGTTCAGAGTCGATGTGATCTCACTCTGACCCAACAGCCTCTCTGTCAGACTCCAGATTCATGAACACTTTATAGGAATGATAAACAAGAGTTCACACTGCCAGCACTTCAGCATGAACACACACACACAGAGAGAGAGACACACACACACAGAGAGAGAGACACACACTCACACGTGCAACGAAGGGGGTATTTTCAGTTTGTTTTGAAAATCGGGATCTAATGAACACAAATGTGTCAGTGTTTTATCATTGTGTACGTGCTAGTCATGTCCTACCTGTCTCTCCTGTGTGTTTTGTTGTTATACTTTGTGAGTGTGAGCGCGTGTGTGTGTGAGTGCGTTGTGTGTGGTTTTGCTGT